AAAAGATACCCAAACATAAATGAATACTTGGTGCACACTGTACATAATGGAAAAAAATACGACTAAAATTATTGTTTATATAAACTCGTGCACAAAATGCTTTCCCCCCAGTAAAATGCTCCATAGCAACGAAATCCCTAAAAACCGGTCTGTGGTTCCAGAACAGCTCGCGCTCCGCCCACGTTTCTTCGCAATATAGACCAGACTTTTATGCAGTAAAATATTGTTAATGAGTTTTTAAAAGTGTAATGGCAATTTCCTAACAAAACAAGTTTTAGCTTTCTATAGAAAAATTTAGAGCAATGTATTATGATTTCTATAAAAAATCTCCTCTGTGATATAGGTATGAAATTGAATCACTTATTTTTAATATAATATTTTATTTTAACGCAGCTACCTACTAACAATTTGTGGCGTAAAAATACTCGAAAAAGTTTAGAAATCTTACGATCGCAATAAAAATGTTTAAATGAAACTTAAAAAGCGATTTGGCAATCAATTTAAAAAGTTATGAATTATTTCTTTTTACTAAAAGAATAACAAATGTACGAGTGGTTTCCCTGATTTTCAAGTGCAGCAATATTCAGGTGAAGCAAATGAAATTGAATTCCTTACTAAAGGGAATCGTTCGCAATTCAGAAATTGGCGAGTTTGTGATATAAAACTGCAGACTAAGAATTTCGATACAACAAGCACACTCAAACCTGGTCGAAACAAAGGAAAGACAAAATCGTAAAACCCGTTGTTAATTAATAAAAAACGACAGTTTAATAGTTGTAGTTATAACACGATTTATCTAATAAGAACTATTTTTATAATTTATTAATATTAAAGGCTTCATTAGACTACTTAGTCCGATTGTGTATCTAAATCCGTATTTTTGACCAAATGGCATTTTATATTTAAATAAGTTTTTTGCTGTTGATTGTTTTGACCTTTACTTAATGAAACTCTATATTATTAATATATGAATAAAAACAACACTGACTTAAAGTTATCGGTTCTCTTGTATTAAATCTTTAGCATATAAATAGTCCTGTTTAAGGTTTAATTAGGATTTCTTGTGTTCTTTAAGTCGTGTAGGTAATAAAGTTTCGTCCAGTTTGGCCTATATATGCTTTCGGACAGTCTGCAAGTTGGTTGGTAAACGCCGGATTTTGAGGATTTTGTTGTTTTGTCTTTGTTTTTTTTTAATGAACATTACTCTTGATTTTATTAAATAAATTAGATACATGTCTCAAATTGGTATCTATAGATATATATTAGGGTGGTTCTTATTTGACCGAATTCAAAATTTTAATCTTGCCGCCCCCTCATTTGTTTAAAAAAATATATAAAAATATGTATGCCATATTTAAAACTTATTTCCTTCCATTGCCTGTAACAACGAGAAGTTTTCCAGATAGAGGATTTTTGCCTTTAATGTATTAATTTTTTAAAATTACTATTAGTCTATGAAAAAGTATATTATTTTGAAAAAATGTAGAGGATATAAGTTACTTTAAAACAACAAAAAAAGAAATCATGTATTTGTATCCTAAGGTCTTTTTTACTTCACTCGATTATTACTTACAGTTTTTTATATAGGGGATTTTTGCTTTAAAACGCAATAATTTTATGAAATCATTAATAATTATTTCCTCACAAAATTAGAATTGTTCATTAATTATAATTAATGAACAATTCAAATTTTTTGAGGAAATTAAGGGAAAATTTGGTAGTTTTAAACAAAAAAAAGAATTCATGTATGTTCATAGTAAGGTCTTTTTTACTTCATTCAATTATTACTATTATTGTTATTTTATTGAAAATGGCATAAAAAGAAAATATCAGTGATAATAAGCATTTAATGCAAAATTAGTGTGTTTTAAAACTTAATTTTGTACTTTTCTAATGTTGGTGCTACCTAAATATCTTTTAGGCAATCTTAAATTATTTGTTTTATAAATATTATAAAACAAATAATTTAAGATTGCCTAAAAGTTATTTAGGAAGCACCAACATTAGAAAAGTACAAAATTACAATAATTTAATACCTAATAAAATGATTTTTAGATTGTTTTCGAACAATTTATTTTTTAAGAAAGTAACATAGTTAAAATGGCAAAAAAATAAACAAAATAAAACCGAGATAATTAGGTTTTTGGTATTTTAAAAATTGTTTATAACAGTCTTTTTTCTGCGTCGGGAAATGCTTTTCGAAACTCTGACACAAGCTTTACAACACATTGTTTCTGGTCTTCATTGTGTGTTATGATGGAGTTATACTCGGCAAATAAATGCACAGCTCTTTCGGCAGCATCGTTAACGATTCTCAGCTGAGTTACAGTTTTTAAACCGTTTTGATAATTTTAGTCCTGAGGCCACATAGTCGGATCGATTTTCAAATAATTGTTATCGATATCCCATCGCTAAAAGAATCTTTTTCCTTGTGGTGTTATAATATATTATTGTACAGCTTGTATCAGAACAAATAATTTTAGATTGCCTAAAAGATATTTAGGTAGCAACAACATTAGAAAAGTACAAAATTACGCTTCAAAGCACACTGATTATGCATTAAATGCAAATTATTATTATTAAAATATTTTGATTATTATTAAAATATTTTGATTTTTATGCCATTTTCAATAAAAAAATAACAATAATAGTAATGATTGAGAGAAGTAAAAAAGATCTTACGATGGACATACATGAATTCTTTTTTTTTTGTTTAAAAGTACCATATTTTCCCTTCATTTTCTCAAAAAATTAGAATTGTTCATTAATTATTAATGATTTTATAAAATTATTGCGTTTTAAAGCAAAAATCCCCTATTTCAAAAACTGTAAGTAATAATCGAGCGAAGTAAAAAAGACCTTAGGATACAAATACATGATTTCTTTTTTTTTGTTTTAAAGTAACTTATATCCTCTACATTTTTTCAAAAAATAATACTTTTTCATAGATTAATAGAAATTTAAAAAAATTAATACATTAAAGGCAAAACTCCTCTATCTGGAAAACTTCTCGTTGTTACAGGCAATAGATTAAAATTTCGACATCAGTCAAATAAGAACCTCCTTAATATATACCTATAGGTATCATCTTCTTTATCACGGTTCAAAAGACCGATACGAGACTGATGTTCAGAGCGCGATCATTCGCGCTCGGGTTAAACACAAAATTAGATTTTTTTAAATTCTGCTTTGTTTTTAGTTATTTAAGTTTAAACTTAAAAGGTACAATTTTTTGTATGCTAAACTCAAACAGAAAGACATAATAGTCATAAAACATAAATTAACACTTTGAACCATGGCAAAAACCTTAAATATAAAAAATGTCATGTATTTTTTTATCAAGGCACCCAAAAACTTCGAAAAATGGGAAAAAGAGGTCCGCCTAAGAATTTTGCTAATTCAGTCTGAATCATAACAAAACCAAACGATTTTTTTAATTTCATAAAAAAACCAGAAAAGTGGCCACTTTGTAAAAAAATATTCGGCTGCCTTCCCTTTGACTGCACTGATAAAAAAAATACTGTGAAATTACACACTTAATCATTGGCCACTTTTCTGCCATATAAATATGTGTAAAATTACATTAATATGAAATTTTACATTTTTTATGTAATTGCACATTTTTCCTGTAAAATTGTTAAAATGTAAAATTACCACTAAAAGTGGAATATTACCTTAAATATGTAATCATAAAATGTAAATATAGTTTTATACACATCTAACTATACCACTTGATTTATGTATTTTTACAATATTTTTGTGAGTAATTTTACCATTTAAAATATGTATATAGATTTTTTACAGCGTATTAATACACTGTATTAATATTTATTAAAAATACAAAATTTGATTTCGTTTAAATTTTTATTAAATAAGTGATAACATATAATTATGAACATATATATAATATAGTTACCTACATAATAAAAAAACATAACTATTAAAAATAAACTGCAACTAAATTGCAAAAGTAACAAAAACATTTTTCTTATATGAACATATATGTTATATATAATATAGTTACATAAAAAACAAATAACAGGTAAGATAAAATGGTAGAGTTCTAAGGTTTTGTATAGGTCATACAGGGTATAAACCCAATAAAAATAAAATAAAACTATTAAAAATAAATTGCAACTAAGTTGCAAACGTAACAAAAACATTTTTTCTTAAAGCTAAATGTGTTTTAGCGTATAAAATTACAAATTCATATTTTAAACACTCTCATAAACTGTATAACTGTATAGGGTAATTTTTCTTAATTTTTCACACCCTCAACTTTTGGTGCCATTATGTAAAAAAGGCTGAAGTACTTGAAAAGTAGTTACAAAAAAACATATTTTGGTTTTGTACGAAACCAGTATATATACTGGGTGATTTCTGTTTTGCTCAGAAATGGAAAGTAGTTTTTGCAGTACTCTGTACGAAACCAAAATATGTTTTTTGCGAACTACTTTTTAAGCACTACGTTTTTATTAATCAACTACATTTTTGTCAGTACGCCCAGTACACTCAAAAATATGGTTTTTTAAAACTACTCTCACACCTCCGTATAGTAATACAAGAAACTTAGAGGGCGTGACAATATTAAAAACTTAAAAATGCCCGTAAAAATATGGTTTCTTAAAACTACTATCATACCTCCGTATAGTAATACAAGAAACTTAGAGGTTGTGAAAATATTAAAAACTTAAAAATGCCCGGAAAAAATACATTCAAAAAAATAAACGCTACAAAAAATTACAAAAGTCGACATAAAGTTTGTTTTAAAAAGTTTCAATGTTACGTCATTATTGATACCAAATGTATTTTGTTATGGCACTAAACTAGGTGTCACCTTTATGGCAAACATTGAACCTTTAATTATAAATAACAGAAATATTCGTGAACCAGTTTTTTATAAAAATTGGTCCTTTAAAGTTTTATAAATAAGTTACACCTTAAGAAGTTGTATTATCAAGAACGTAAGTCTATTACCAATAATAATTTAACAAAACGATTTATGTAAATTCACTCGTCAAATTTTTCATTAAGGTAAGAACCTTACCCTTTGATGCCGATTTTGATTTTGTCCCTGAATCCGGATGTATTTTCAAATGAAATCTTTGTATCATTTCTAAGGTCGCTGCTGCTTCCTTGGGAAACATAAGATTCATAACGAAGTATAGACCAAAACAAAAGAGAAAGCTTTCTATGAAGGACGTGTCTTCAAAAATTTCTTCCCTTTCAAGAAATACTTTGTAGCTAATGACTCCTTCCTTATCTGAAAACCAGACATTTACTACATACATACAGTAAATATTATTGTAACAATATTACAAGCAAAAATCTCATTATAATATGCTAACTTTTAAGGTTATCGAGAAAAGAATGTCGAATGTCACAAAATTTTGATTTTCTAAAAATCTCGCTTTTGAGTTGGCATGTTAAAAAAAATTAACCTCTCGATTATGATACTTACACGTTTCTAATATACAAGGCGCCGGAATAAGCTGTGGTAAATCTCCGGGATTTCGTTTCTCGTCCTACAAAAAAATGATATTGTTATATTATTCAGTTGAAACGGTAACTTAAATTTAAACATACTTGACGAACTAATATTGATTTTGATAAATCCTCTTTAAAATATTTTCCATAAAATTTCAGGCACTCTTCTGTGTCCTTATTTTCGTCATATTGGGAATCACAAAGCTTTTTTTTAATTCCATATTTAATTATTTTTTCTGCTTTTTCTTCCATGCTGAATTTTAATGTATTCAAATCCACTCCTGTGACCTTTTGAAAATGCCATTTGACTCCAGAGTTTGTCAATAAAACTGGCCAATTTTTTTTTATATCTTGGACGGTTGGTGGAGACTCTACATTATTTAGAAAAATTCTCTGATCAGAATATGTGTCTTCTAGTAGATCATAGTATTTCTCATCTGATTCTTTTATATTTTTTAATTTTTCCTGAAGTGACTGATCCTCACTAGGACTTGCGGACTCTTCCCAATTGGAGCATCCTGCGACACTGTTCATTTTCTTTTTTCTATACTTTGGTGGGGTGGGTGAATTTTCCCAACCTCTCTTATGAGGACGATTTAAATAATTGTTTCGGTCAATTAATTTCCTTATCAGAAAATATGTTCCGTCACCGATTACTACTCCATCAATGTCTGTTTCACGGAATGTTGCAGGGTATTTTGTTACAATTTTATTTGCCATTTGTTTAAAAGCTGCAACTGGAATTCTGGTTTTTATTGCTCTCATTTCGTGAACAATAGTATGGCATATTTCTGTAATTTCTGGTTTACAGTTTTGCCACTTCTTCCCACTTTCAAGTAGGCTTAAGTGATTTGAAGGAATTTTACTCCACGAAACATCTAAATGGGCCCACGTGTATTCCAAATTTGCATCCACTATCACTGGTGCGTTTATATTCATAAAAGTGTTATCAGATATTTCTGCAAGAATACTATTATTTAAAGTGGAACCATCAGACATATCATTAATAGACGTATCGGTTATTTCGTTAACAGACGAAACGGTTAATGTGCTTGCTGAACCTAACGACTGTTCAGAAGGACCCCATTGTTCGTTTTTGGCTAACAACATCAGGATATCATTTTTCAAAAAAATAAGAACTTCATCCTCATTTATTGGGGTTCCGTTACGTTCTAGCACTAGAGTGGAACCATTCACATCAATTTTTTCTGATGCTAAAATTTTAAAAAGGTAGGCTTTAATTTACATCGTCATCAAAATATTTGCGAGTTACCTTTAACTATTAAACGTTCCAGTAAATTGGGCCCCTCCGGGACTATTATAAAACATTTTTTGGTTCTGTCTCCAGACCAAAGTGTAAAAAGGTGTGACTGTGACATACTTCTGTAGAATTAAATATAAAACCCAGTAAAAAGCAAGTAAAAAAATAAGACAAATAAAGGAGTTGCGACCTGTAACAAACTATTAAAGGTAACAAGTAAAGTATAAAATTATTAAAATTATTAAAATAAATTAATTTAAAAGTTATTAACCTAACAGTGCGGTGATATACTATAAATATACAGTGCGGCGATAAAGTCCCTCTAACTTTTAAACCGTTTAGTATATTGTGATGAAACTTAAACGCTATATGAGTAAGTTCTACATTTTTTGACATATCAATGACAGCTCTAAATTTCAAGATGATAGGTTGGCATGCAAATGAAAATTACTCAATCAAATTTTTTCAAAACTGGAGAATGGATTAGGCATAAAAGACCTCCAAGACCTTTCCATTTAAAAAATATTTCTGAAGTGCGACCAGCTGTCATCTTGACATATAAATCTATCATGGATATGTCAAAATTTTCAGTTCTTACTCATAATATGAGTAAGTTATAAGTTTTATCATAATATACCAAACGGTCCAAAAGTTAGAGGAAGGACAGACGTATTATAGGGATTTTTTTTGTATTCCTTTCAAGTCCTGTATCTCTTGCATGGAGGTGTGTTAAGTAGTGAATCTAGCGCTTACTGTGGATGTAAAATAGCTGTTTTTTGTTAAAACAAAGTAGATATATTTTATAAGGTGTCCAGTTTTCCACAATTAAGTCATTGTGAAGCTAATAAAAATCTTCATGCTCAGTAAAAGCCAGATTCCTTGCCTTCATGTAAAAAATACAGGTCTAAGATTTTTTTATTAAGTATTTAAATTTATTTTTAAGTTTTTTCTACAGGCGCTGATTTAAAATAAAATGAACTCTTATCATTTACTTTATGACATAGGAGTGTTTCAACGCATATTAAGTTGGAAAAGTCTAAAAAAATATAATTATCTTTTAATTCCTGATGTACAAAATTAATATCACTGTTAGTATAGTATAACCCTATTTCGCCATCATAATTAATTTTAAATTTATTTCCAAGAAAATAAATTTTGGTATAATTTTCGGATATTATTATAAAATGTATGGTACAAATTAAAAAATTGCCAAACTCGTCTTGTGAATAAACTACATTCATCCCTTTCTTATACAAAATACCCCTGTAAGTTACATGAGCAGAAATAAAGCAGGTCTCATCTGTTGGGTAATTAACTTTCATAATATTATTTATGTGTTGTGGATAGTTCTGTTCGTCAAAAATTTGTATATCATCTGATACTACAGTATTGCTAAAATAAGAGTCATTTGAAGAAATTAGTGCCTGAAGAAGTTGATGTTTGTATGATAAAGAGAAAAGAATATTTTTGTAATTTGATGAATGCTTACAAGCAGACTTAAAGTACTGATGCTTGCTTTCAAACCTAAGAGTCCACATATGTCTTAAGGGTCCAAACTGCTGAATTAAAAAGGGGTAATGCGTCAAAAAATGATGCTTAGGCTTAAGTGGTTGATTTGGAAATATAATACATCTATCATTAAGATATTCAAATATTAAAGAACGCAAATTATTAATTTGATTGAACGACAAACTAAAGGCCAATAACAAATTTACAATCAACCTTAAATTTAACATCATTTTCCAAGCATCACTTTGAATTATTTCAACATTATCTTGAAATATAAAAGGAAATATTTGAATTAGCCACATATTTTGGGTTGCAGAGCCAGGAAGTCTTTCTGATTTGGAAATTAATGGAAAATTATTTTTTGTTTCAAAATGAAAACGTAGGGTTTTAAGATGATTATTTAAATAGTCATATGAAGTATGTTTTTCAGAAACAAATTTGTTGATGATTAACATAAAATCCCACTGTATCACACCTTCAAAAAGGTCGTGGGCAATGCAAGGAGGGAGGCCAGGATTACAAACATGGTAGTATTTTAACTTATTTAAAATTGAATTAGATTTTATTCCACGAAACGCCTCACCTGTTGTAAGACAAATATTAACGTCCTGTTCGTATGAACTTTTAGTCCTGACATTCCAGGATTTATAAAAATCGGATAAATCAGAGGGTTTATTTATGTAACAAAATCGACAAAAATGCCCATTTAAGTGAAAATTTTCGTTAAAACCACCGATTTGGTGGCTCCCTAAGTTGTCACCAATTATAGCTACTACGGAACCTCTAAAATGTAGATTATTTTCTATAGAAATGCCTTCAGTTTCTAATTTAATAATGTCTTCTAAAATTACCTTTAAAGCATCGGTAAACCCATTATTTTTTACGACTTTGTTATAAATTAGTGCCACAAGTTGAATTTGTTCCACTTGAGACCTATGCCAGGCAGGTATATTAGCAAAAGTCATATATATTCCTATAACCTTATGTTTTTTTTTAGATGAACCCAACGGATTGCAAATTTCAAAAGCATCCTGATACAGAATAATTTTAATTGTATCAGATTTTTTCAAAAAACAATTTTTTGTCACACAAAAACTATTATTTATGTCGGAAATTAAATTAATTGTATTTTTCTCAATGTCAGGGTTGGGGATGGATTTGATTAAAAAATAATTCCTAAAGTTATCATTTTTAAAAAGGTTTTTTAGTGTTTCGAATATGGGAATATAATAAAAATTTGATCCATTTGAAAGGGTTTTTGGCACAGCCTCAACATAATTAAAATATTTTTTGTAATACAAGTTCCTTGTATATTTATTTCTTAATTTTCCACTTGCTTTGTTATGAGCAATAAAAAACAAATTGTTATTAAGTAGAGTTTTATCAATCACTATATTATTTTTATTTAAATTATTGAGAAGAAATTCAGTATTTAACTCATTTATATCGCAAATACCCTCTACCATAAACTGTAGTGACTGGTTTTCTAAAAAATGTTTGCTTTCAAGTTTTAAATACAATGAACTAAGCAATTTCATGGCTTGTTCCAACAAATCTGATGAATTATCTTTTGGCTTTGGCTCATTTACACTGTCTAACTCATCACTCTCTTGAGAACTAGTACAAGGGGGCACTTGTATTAAATTTACATTTTTATTTGTGGTATTCACAAAACGGCGATTTAAGAATGAGTGTCTTCTAAGAATGTGACTTTTTAAAGAAACCAAACTATTAAATAACTTATCTAATTTACACTTCAAGTGCAGTGGACATTTTAATTTTTTTCCCTCCCTAATGTGATCATACACGTGCTTTAAAAATTTTTGTTTATTTTTGTTTATAAATGAACAATTTTCTAAAGAGCAACTATAAATTATGTCATCTAACACGTCTTTACTAAAATGATTACGATGTATATGACTTATAAATGCTTTATACGACCAAAATATTAATTTACAACCCTTACGTACACACGGAAACTTTTGCCGTTTTTCGTTTCTATGAAAATAAACATGTTTTTCATATTCCCTAATGGTTTTAAAGGATACCTTACATACATTACACTGTAACATAGTTATTATAACTTACCTGTCGTATTTTTTAACTAGATTACGTAAATAATTCGTATAAAACTAAAATATTGCTCCAAGACGCCGCGGCTTCACCTCACACAAACAATAATGGACGACTGATGTACCGGTCGGCTACATCACGTGACCCGATTCGATATTTTGATTGGTAGCGTTAATTAGGTACTATGTAAAAACACACTTTGTATGTATTTTTACATTGTATTTAGTACTTATACATAGTTTTAATGTAAAGTTACATGAAATTAAAGGATTAATACATATTACATTGTAAGAATAAACCTAAAATGTATTTTTAATTTGTTCAGTGTAATCACACACTCACTGAAATGTTTAAATACATTTTTAATAATTTCTGTGTATAATAGCTTTATATGGTGTGTAAGTAATAATGTAAATTTACCCTAATTTTTATCAGTGTGTGTAATGTTTCAGCAAATTGTACAGTTACTTGAGTATATATTAACTTTAAATTAAAATCTTGTTTTAAACTTAAATAACTTTAAAACAAAGTAAAAATTCTTAATTTTGTGTTTAAAAATGAATCTGCAATATGAAAATTAAAATTTTTCTACCAGTTATAAAACCCTCTGTATTTATTTTAAGCCGTTTCAATCAATTTTGGTAACGGAGAATTTCTCAAAGATAACGTGACAATATGTTTCCTCTAATATTAGAGAAAATGCTGGCTCAGTGCACATATATTTAAGAGTACGCTTTATTTCATCTCAGTCAAATAAATGTCAATTTTAGAGCATATTCCGTTGAAAAATGAATATGATACCTTTCATGTGACTTTCATATTTATATGATAAAATTCGCAAAGACAAGTCAATACTTTTTTACATTTGATTTTGTATTTTCTTATTCGTTGTTTATAAAAAATCCCAAATGTTCAATTTTGTCCCCATGCTAAACTTGTATCGTAAAATCTAGTGGAAATAAATATTCTTTTTATTAATACAATTATCTTTTAAACAAATCATCATAGTGTTAAACACGGAAAGAAATTTTGGATACAATTAATCCGCTAAGGTAGTATAACAATCAAATTTTTGATCAATATAGCGCCAATCCAAAATTAGACTAATATCAATAATTCATCCGATTGAATTATTTGCTAGGCTTAAATGTATCAAACCGTGATAAATAGCAGCAACTAAGTTTTATAAATCACATCAAAATTTAGATTAATTATAGTGAAAATAAAATTAAATTCGCCTAAGATATTCTAAATTTACACAATATTTTCTTAAATTTATCAATTGTTGGATTCTATTAAGCACTTGTTAGGTCAGTTTAATCTATTTTTTAAGTTATTTTAATGTGTTTAAGATAAAATTTCCTATAATTTGATTGATTATAGAAAAAATATCTAATAATATTTATCAAAAATTTGGCAAAATTAAGAATAATTAGGATAAATTTTATCAGATCATTGGATTGATTCGTGCAAAATATATCCAAATAGTTAGTAAAAAATGAATCGAATTTATCAAAATTTTGAATATTTTAATCTAATAATTTCCTATAATTTGATTGATTATAGAAAAAATATCTAATAATATTTATCAAAAATTTGGCAAAATTAAGAATAATTAGGATACATTTTATCAGATCATTGGATTGATTTGTGCAAAATATATCCAAATAGTTAGTAAAAAATGAATTGAATTTATCAAAATTTTGAATATTTTAATCTAATAATTAAATAAAACTTGTTTAATGTTTTGATTATTTTAATCTATATTTGATTATCGACTGGAATATTGATTTTTTTAATTGGCTGTGATAGTGGGGTAGGTAAAGTATATAAACTAAATTTTTTGTTTAATAAATACTCATTTATTACAAACTTTCATACAAAAAACTAAACATAATAATATTCTAGGTACAAAATAATATAAAATAACGTAATCCCGTAAGTATAATTGTTGACCCACCTACATGGGTTATTTGAAGATAAATCAAACAGTTGTCAATACAAATACAATACAATTCAACCGATTTTATTTTATTATATTTTATTTTATCTATTGACAGTTGAAATTGACATTTCTGCAATTGTTTTAGGCTCAAAAATCTAAACGGTTTAACTTAACCAGAATTGTGTAAAACGTATTAACCTATGTTAAACAGTTTAGATTTTTTATCCTAAAAAAATTGCAGAAATGTCAATTTCAACGGTCAATAGATAGTTAAAAATCGGTTGAATTGTATTGTATTTGTATTGACAACTGTTTGATAGCTATCTTAGTTTTTATAATATATCGTTTGACTTTGAATTTAACCGAAGGTTAAAAATTTCCGGTTTAATTTAAGGTAACATTTAAACTTAAAAAAATTAAGATAGGATTGTAACTATGTAACTTTATTTACAACTTTTTGATATCTTTTAAAATAACCCCTTTAGGTAGGTGAATTTATACGTGAAAATCCTGTAAATACGGAGGCAAGTCTCATAGTCGAGCAAAACAGTAACAGTAACAGTATCAGTAACAAAACAATTGAGACAGGGACAGTAAATGGCTAAACTATAGATACCTTTCCTTTACAACTTTTCTACCATCTGGTAGAGTGTGAATTTGTATGGGCTTATAAAATCTTTTTGTTTTAATTTCGTAGCACCCTATGTTATTAGTATGTTTTTTTACGAAACAACACATAAAATGTTCGTTTTTATTAGAAATTTCTATTTCCTCCAGCATAAAAAAACAACTATCGGTAACAATGATATCTATAACTTTATATAAAGATTTATCTTTAAAAACAAAATATCCAGTTTTAAATAGGGTTCCATGAAATATGATTTCTGAAGCTATAGAAAATGAGGGAAAAGATAAGGTCTTAAAATAGTCGTAATATGTTTTACCTTCTATCATATTATTATCTCGTTTTTTTACAATACATTCATCGCCTCCTTTCAAGGAAAGCATAGTAAAAGCAAATTTCATAGCACATTTTTTTAATATAGATAATGAAAGATTTCTTCTAGAAGCAGTTGCTTTCGTGTAAGTTATGATTTCTTTGTTTTTAGATTCATATCTCATACACCAAAAATGTTTTACTGGACCAAACATTCGAATTACCCTGGGATAGTGTACTATCATATGATGTTTGGGTTTTAAGGTGTCATTAAACAATTTTTTGTATAGCTTATGATGCTCCGATATGAGATTTTTAAGTAGAACTATGTCAGTTTCAGAATAAAATTCTAGCAAAAGCATATTAACAAGTTCTTCTAAAACACAGACGTATTTCCAAACTTTATCACGTTGTGGAACTAAATCTCCTACAAAGCAAGTAAAAAAATGTAATAAAGTATATGCTTCTCTCGCAGTCACATGAATTTTATTATTTTTGATATGTTGAGCTTTTATTTCGTGGGGTCTGTTGCGTATTTCAATTTCACCATAATCAAAATTTTGAATTCGATAATTTAAGGCATCTAGGTTAAAATATTTTTTACTAATAAAATATTTGATTGAATTAATGAGCCCATACTTTATAATGCCTTCAAATGCATCATGCATCAAATCGACCGATAAACTTTCAGTAACATGGAAAGAAGGAATTGTATTAAAAATTGAATTAAATCGAATACCAGTCTGAAGATAATTATTTTGCTGTACATGGTCATTGTACATTTTTTTATTTCGTAAAAGAGCCTTATTTTCTGTGGTACTTGTTCGAGTGTCTTCAATTTTTTCAATACAGATTCGACAAAAATAAGTATGCGAAAATGACTTTGAAAATCCTAAAAGTGAATTTACACCTAAATTATCTCCCAACACCATACCCAAAACAAAATAAACTTTCTGTGGGCCGTTCGTCGTGTTAATATCAATACCATCAATTTCCAAAGATTTTAGGACTTCAATTAATTCAAACAATACAGTATTTACATCAAATTGCTTTAAATCTACTGCTTTTAGAAACATAGCTGGGAAAATGTAAGATAGTTTTGAACGTCTCATTAGCGGGGTCGATGGAAAACTATAATAAAATCCTGAAATAGATTGAGAGCCTGTATGACAGCCTATAGGGTTGTTAGTTTCAAAATCGTCATAATTTAGGAAATAAGGTATTACAGTTTTGTCACCAAAATTATATTTTATGTGTCTCCAGTAACTGCCTTGAATAAAATTTTCCATAATATTATTTTTGTTGTAATCCATGGTAAGACTTTCCATATACTTAATTGTTTCATCCAATATTTTTGGCTGATTGAAATATTTTTTAATTTGAAATTTTATTGGCATTAATGTTCCTTTGTTTTTGAGACCACATAAAGAAGGTATACCTTTTTGCATGACAGGAGCTACCACATTGTTAATAACGAACTCTTGGGGCTGTTCCATCAAATTTTTGCTAAGAAGGGTTGATATTAGTTTGTGTTCCGTATTAATTTGTTGAAACAATTTATCAGAAAAATCCAGAAAAGACATTAACAATGATTTGGAATGACTTTCATAAATACTTTTTATAGCATTGATTGTGGAAGATATTATGTCTGCAACATCCCGAATTATAAATTCAATTTGTTGATTTGTCATGTGGCTGTGACTATTAAGTTTGCATACAAATTTTAGAACAACCTCTTGAATGGATATTTTTATACTCTCTATACATAAATGTTCGTTATTATCTTTATTATTTAAGCAAGCAGTAGAGTCTTGATTTTCGACGCAATTTTTAAAAACTAACCCTTCAGAATAATTGTTTGATTGACTAAATTGGTCAATTCTGGTATTAGCTGCTTCGTTTTCTTGTTCATGATGGCATCGGTTTAAATGTTTTTTAAGCGATTTTAAGTTTGAAAAAGTTTGGGGACATCCATTTTGGTCACATTTAATTAAGGAACAAGTTTTCAGTGAATGATTAAACTTAATGTGTAGGAAAAGTAAATCAATAGTTTTAAATGCCTGTTTACAAAAAAAGCAGGAAAACATGATTTAGAAAATATTTAAAAAACCTGATAGTTCAAGAAAAGAGAATATGTTGTATTTAGTGGTCTGAAAAAAAAGTTTTGATACTGAAAACTGTCAAGTACCGTAGCATAGTATTTAATAAATGTTTATAATTTAAGAAAAGGTATTAACGTTGAAATAGATGAAGGTAAACATTTTTCATCAATTTCAAAAAAATAAACTTGAATAAAAGTCCAAAATACTTTAGATTGTACTTGGTATTTTAAATTAAAACATAGTGAATTTTAAAAGTTACTGACATTGCCTCAATAAAACTGTCAAATTTATAGATAATACTGTCATAAACACAGTATATTCCTTCAATCTCTTTTTCTACATCCCCTACTATGAGAAGGATGGGCTGTAGAGTAAGATTAAAATTTAGCAAACGATTTTTTAGTTGCTCTATAGCTGCCTTATAATTAGAAAACGAAGCTACCTCTAATAGACTAAAATGCTGGCTGTCGGGTATACTAAATTTCCACCTCCTGGATTTATCTTTTGAATTAACCACTCCCACAGGATGACACAGTGCATGCAGCAGTTTAAATATTAAAATGTCTCGTGCGTCTAAAATAAAAATAATTTTGTTAATTATAGGTCTTTGGTGTTATAGCATGCATAATTTGTAAAAAAAAATTTGTTAATTAAATTTTTGCCAATTTTTAAACTAAATATCCAAGTCGATGAAAAAAATCAAAATAGTTCATTAATTTACTTACCAATGTTTAGGTCTTGATTTTGAAGTCCTTTTAATAATTCTAAACTTTGTTTGTCCTTGATGTTTTTCTTAAAGTATGGAATAATCTTGACCACGAAATCTCCCCACTTTTCATGCAATTTGTTAATTCTTCCAGTGAATTGCGAATCGAAATCAATATCAATCTGTAATAAAATAATTTTAAATACTTAATTAGGTAATGCCATAAATAAGTAATTAAGTAATCTATAAAAAAGTAAATTTTTGGCTTACTAAACAATGATTTTTGTGGCCGATACAATAATTATTTTTGCACTTTTTTATTTTATGTAGAAGTAAAGTTAGTATTTAAACAAAAAAAAATCAGAAATATTAACATACCAGTCTCTGGCCATTTTCTTTCATGTAGGCTGGCCATTCAGCTAACAGTAAAGTTATGTTTGTTTGATCACAGGACTTAAATTCTGCCTTTCTCTCATTTACTGTTGCATTCCACTTTTCTTCAACAATAAGCCAGGGTTCAGAATGATATTTAAGCCAAATTTTTTCATCTGATGGAGCTCTTGTACCTGCAGCAAAATATAAAAAAACGCAAATTTTATTTTGTTTTAAGTACAGTACCCTAAGGTACTGCACTGTTCAAAATTTTAGCTAATTTTTACCTAAAATATTAGACTATATAGGACCATTGATTTTTTAAGGCAAACTGCTTAAAATGAATTCAGAGGAATATTCCCCTTTTAAATTAGTGAATTCTTTAACTGATTTTTAAAGATAATGATACAATTAATTAAGCAAAATTACTTAGGTTTTAAAGGTGATACACCTTAGATCGTAAGGGATATTGCCTGAGAATAAAAGAATAAATTTCCTGTTTCTAAGGCAATTTGCTTAAATTTTAAGGTAGATTTTAGCTAAGTTTTCAGGCAAATTATATATATTTTTAGTGAAAATCCTAGCATAGGAATTTTCTTCCAAGTTAGGACTCCTTTATCTTTATGTCCTAGGCGAATTAACAACGGCGGTTCCGGTACTACATGTACTCTGCAGGGTTGGGATCATTTAAAAATAAATTGGGGTCAATTGGAAATTCCATTTAGTTTGGATTACTTAACTATAGCACTACAAAATGTTCACTTATAGCACAATAATTGTTAACTATGTTGTTATATCAATAGCACACAACGCGGTCTTTAAGCTTTCGTTGATTTTGGCATTATGGTGGACAATATAGGCGCGAATATTTATCGTAAAACGTCAGTATTAGCAATCGTAGCCGATTGCAAGTAAGTCACTAATATTTAAAGGAATTTACCTAAATTAGTTTAATAATTTGCCATAATAATTTAGAAGAATTACCTAAATTAAAAGCAAAATTGTCGTACCTAAAAGTAATTGTGATTTTGACTAAATATTTAGGTAATCTGCCTATCTTTTAAAATTTGACAAGTTTATTAAGTAAAGTATGAATATTTACCTAGAAGTAAGTGAATACACCATAGAACTAAGGCATTCTTTTCTGCCTAATAAACGAGAAGGTAAATTGCTTTACTCATTTAAGCATATTACCTTATTTTTCCTTAACTAATTCTGATTAGGTATTTCAAAAGGCTTGATTTTGAACAGTGTGTATAAAAAACGAGGGTGTGTCAAAAGGAAGCAATATATAATATTAATGTAGTATCAACTATGCAAGGGCCTAATGTTTTTTAGGCGTATTTTTATACAAAGCATGAGTTTGTATTGAATAATTTACTGGTAAGCTTACTGGGCTGATGTGAACAAAGAGTTTTTTTACTCTCCTCAAGTTTTCTTTTTTTCTCTCGCGGAAACAGGTTCCCTTTTCTAAGTTTTGCCACAGTGTTCTTGTAAGCATAATACAGCTTTCCACATGGCATGTTTTTACTGTCTTTAAAATAGTAAGTACCCTGTAAATTAATTTATGTCAGTTATCGATTGAGAAGCATAGAAATAACAAACTTGTGAACTCTTTTTTAAAGAATTACCTTGGATTCCAGCGGAAAAAGATTACATATATCCTCAGTCAATTTATTAAAATCATTTTCATGCATAAACATATTCCTGTTTACATAATGGCGTACTATATCTTGTGTTAAGGTATCCCTACAAACCCCCGACAAAATTCCTTTGTTTTCATTTGCTGCTTTTTTAATATTTGACCCATCATTATTTAGATACTCATTCAAATCCTAAAATATTTTTTGTTTAAAAAATACATAGTTGGTAATATAAATGCATTAAAAATTACTAGCCTAGGCCAAATAGTATCAAATACTACTTTATAAAGTATTATGGATATTATATATATATATATATATATATATATATATATATATATATATATATATATGTATATAAAATTATTATGTTAATTAAAGAAAACTTACAAATATCATTGGGGAAGGCGAGTCTCGAGGTGAATTTTGATAATCCCCATTAAATGAAAAACTACTTGAAAAGTCACTTGAAGTTGAGGTTCAGGAGTTTTCCTTTAGCAAAAACCTATTTTCTAAACAGTCCAAAGAAGTGGGGTTCTTTATTCCCTAAAAATGCATTTTTTAAGATTAAAAAGCAAATTTACCATTAATGCATTTCAGGTTCGGAATGTATAAGGGGACATCCATTAATTACGTGAGACAAAAATGGGAGGGAGGGGTCCAGCAAAATCCCACTAAATCTCATCTTAAGGGAGGGGGGGTTCATTTAAAATCTCACGTCAACTTTTGAGTTTAAAAAATACGTATTATAATTTAAATTTTTTAAGAAAAATTAATTATTTTTTTTACATGTTGTCCGCAATAATAAAGTTTAATGGCTAAAATCTTACGTGAGGGATAGGGGGGAGGGCCTACCACATCTCACCAAGGGGAAGGGGGGTCCAAATTATCAGAAAAATCTCTCACGTAATTAAAGGATGTCCCCTAACTGGGCCTAAGAAAACTAATTACTTTTAATATTCTCCATTCTAAAACACATTTTCTAAACATTATCTTGTTTTCCATTTCATTTCTTTGAAATATCATGTCCAGGTCCCTTTCAGTCATGAACTTAAATGAATTTAAAGTGCAAATACCAGCTGCTGCAAGATTAATAACACATTTTCATTGAATATAAAGACATTTATCATTGAGTTAACCTTCTATTATTTTCAGTTTTTACCACTTAACTTAAGAATTAACAAAAACAATGTGCACATTAGAGTGTCCGTTATTTACCAACTTGTTTTTTTTTCGCCGCGCCCCCTAAATTTTTAGGGAATGAAAAAAAAATTAAACGTAAAACTTGCCTAAATCCCATGATATTAATAATAATAATAATAATAATTAAATTTAAATGGGAAATGAATCGTCTTTGTGAAAAGGTTTAATATGAATATTAAGGGCTTATATGAGTCTGATATTTTTTTTAGGTCATAAACTAAAAATTTAGGGTGCGCTGCGAAAAAAAACCAAGTTGGTAAATAACAGACACCCTAGTGCACATACAAAGATAAAAAGAGACTTACTTGAAAGCCTATCAAAAATATGTGGCATACCCCATTCTTGCAATATATCACTGATTTCATTTGTATTTAGGCTGCTTCTCAAATTGGAAATCGGTAATTCTGTCAGTGGTAAGTTTCCACTCTCGTTATTGTCAAATGATACGTTTTGGTCATCATTTGCTACCGGTGTAGCGACATTATTGTAGTATAAAAACTCTGGATACACATTTTCCATCTATAGGCAAATGTTAAACAAATATTAAAAATATTCCCCAACACCAAAACAAAACACAAAGTGCTTAAAGTACTTTTCGCTAAAAATGTTGGCATCTTTAACATACCACTAAAGTTGTCCTTTTTCAAATAAAAAAATGTTGTAAGTAGGTTCTTAACCTACCAAAAATTGGAGAAAACAAACAAGGAATAATTAAAATAATGGCTCAATTTTATTCAAATAAAAAAAAATTAGTTGATAATAATCTTCTAATCATAAAAATAATGAATGTTTATAACTAAATTAAATATGTACTTGGAAAAGTAAAATCTCAACAAATAACGATGATTTTGCTTAAACGAATTTATCTTATTTTTATTATTAATTGCATCCTTTTTACAACATAAGGTATGTTCCTACCGAGCATTTTAACCATTTGACTTGTATATGATTTTGACTGGCGAATGGGACATGCGCAATACCAAAATCGCATGCGCAAATCTAAAATATAGTCAAAATCCACACAACAAACACCTTGTTCGATCTTGGGTCGGGTTGTTGAGTTTGGGTTGGTTTCGAAGCTTCGCAAGAAGTAATTCTTTACTTACATTATTATAATAAATCCTACATTAAATGTCTGCGCCGGCGCTGGCGCTAGACGCTTGTCTTTTTGGTAGGATAAAGGTTATTATAAATTATTTTTAGACTTTGGAATTTAGAAAAAAAAAGTTTCAGGTGTTTCTTTATGGACCCTAAGAAACAACCCATTTTAATATATAACATTAATTACATAACACCCTGTATGCATCAAATTATTTCTTTATCAAATTATTTTTTTATGACATAATTTTTTTATCAATTTATTTTTTTATCAACCTATTTTTTTATCAAATTATTTGTTTATGAAATTATTTTTTATCAAATTATTTTTTTATGAAATAATTTTTTTATGAAATTATTTTTATCAATTTATTTTTTTATCAAATTATTTTTTTATTAAATTATTTTTTATGAAATTATTTTGTATGGATGACCTTTTTTGAGGAGAAATTTATACGAGGGGAAGTAGGGGAAGTGAAAATCAAACGGGTGATTGCATTGAGGCGCATGCGTGGCTGCATTGCCGGTTTAAAAAAATCCTTTTTAATAAATTGTATGAAAAAAAGCATTTAACAATAATAAACACATAAAATGATATTTTGGAATTTATAATGGCATGTTTATAACAGCAAGAATTTGGCAACGTTGTATTTTAACCACGATAGTCAAAATATTTTTATTATAGACATATTAATATGTAGATGGTTTTAATAATCAACCATTTTGTTTGTTTTCTGTAGTATACTTACCAATTGTTTTTTTCATTGTCTTTACGAGATTTTCAGTGGCTTTTACATAATATGAATATTATAAAATTTGATATAACCTAAATTTAATTTAGTTTACAATTCGAATCATACATGGACATATTAATATGTCTATGGTATCATATATTTTTAATTCCCACTTATGAACTGACTATGCGCATAAGGTAGATTAGACTGGGCCAAAAAAATTGACTATTTTTTTTTGAAAAATATATAGAGAATGTCATTCAGAATGACAAAAAAAAAATCGTGAAAATTTGAGCCCTTAATATTAATTTTAAGAGGTCTATCATCGCTATTTTTGATTTTTAGTCATAATTTGATGTTTTACGTTAGAACTGTCAAAACATTAAAGTGAAAAAATTCCTTTTCACTTATTTTTATATAAAATTAAATTCTCTACAAAAAAGGTCTGATTGAGCTTAATAAATCGATGTGTTTTTTCGATTTGCCCTTTTTACTTTGAAATTTTGTAACTAATGAATCAATGAATATTTAAAAAAGCTCACGTCGCACATAGGGGTATTAGTACTATAAAGTTGGCCAAAATTATTTTTCGATTTATAACAGTTTAAAATCGTATAACATGCTATATTATCGCATCTTAAGTCATTTAGGACATGAATTTTGTAATTTATGTAATGTAATTTATGTGAAAATATAGAGGTTGTTGCAATACAAAATACAGACTTTTTATTTTTCGAACTCGCCATTTTCTACGCATTAAAAAACACGCTCTGTATAATTTTTTGTAAAATAAACTTATACATACAAACTTGTAGATTAGTTCATTATAAAGGGATTGATACTATATAATATATAAATAACAATAATAAATGTTTTTTATAGAATCATCAAAAAGCGATTGACTTAGGTTCTTCAGCCATATAATATATATGTATATTTAAAGTAAGATTAAAATTAGTTATTTTTAATAAAAAGAATTAACACTTTACCCAAGTTTACTCAGAAATTATTATATTTTTTCTAATTACAAATTTGTAAATTAACAAAATTTACCTACAAAATTAAGTAAATCCAAAAAATAAAAAAATAAAAGAAAGTTGCCATTGTATTATTTTATGAATTTTTGTTCTTTCAGTGGTTTCTGAGATAAGAATAAACATTGAGTAATTAAATCCTCCCTTAACGGTAGTGGTTCACATTGTAAGTAATATTATAATTAAATAAAAACCGGGACGCACCCGGAAGTATTTTAAAAACTCCAAAACTTTTATACTTTAATGTTAAAAACAATATTATTTCGTATTTATTAAAAGCATTTTTTATAATAAAACTTAGTTTACCATAAGTAAAAGTAATAAAATAGGTTGTACATACCTTCAATAGCATCATTCATATCGCATCACTTTAGACTGATTGGTAAAAACATTATTAAACAAGTCCAAAAAGTTGTTATTTCAAAGAATTCTTGAAATTAATAAATATCACTTCGACGAACCTGCATTCCGCCTAAGCAGGAGGCTTCCTGGTAGTGCAAGAGTGCAAAAAAATTTTAAACATTGTTTACCATTTATTTAGCTATCCAATGTAAATAAAAATTGTATTATGCGACTTATTGTACAAAATTGACTTTTGGCCAGCTTTTTAAAGCAAATACCCCTCGAATTCTTAAAGAAAATTTAATGTTCTACAAAAAAGGTCTCTTAACATTTTTGCCTAAATTTAATTCTTCAAAAGTTATTCACGAAGATAAAATTGAAATTTTAAGTTTTTCTTCGATTTTAATCGAGAATAACTTTTGAAGAATTAAATTTAGGAAAAAATGTTAAGAGACCTTTTTTGTAGAAC